TTACTTGTAACTGTACAGAGGGTGAAGTGATATATGTACCTAACGGGAGTAAGGAAGGGAGAGAGGTGAAGAGAAGGGAAGTGAGGAATGAGTGAAGAGGAGAGAGAGAGAGAGAGGGAGAAGGAGAAATAGGAGAGAAGAGGAGATGAGAGATGTTGAGAGAAGAAAAGAGGCTGAGTGAAAGAAGACTTAAGCAAGAGCAGGCTGAGTGCAATAATAGGCTTGTTGTACCATTCAAAAAGTATGCTAACGGATGAAAGGTTATGTGAGTGCTCCCTCAACTATTCTTTCTACTTTTCTGAAGGTTTGCAATTTTTCAAAATGAAAAGTTGGGAACAACTTAAGAGTGCTAGAAAGTAATCTTATATCTGTGCACAGGGGAAAGAGTGAGCCCTTAAAGCCAAACTGTTTCTTATAATTCACGGCGCGAAAGGCCTCTCTGTTGTGAGATTTGACAGTCGGCTGTCCCCCAAAGGGAAAAAGGCAAGTCAGAGTGTCTGAAATACTTATGGGTTAAATTTCCTCCACTGGGACATTATGGCAGTTACATGATTTCTAATTAAGAAGGTAAACACCCTAACATTTATTTAAAAAAAACACTTAGTACAAACTAGTTACACATTTGTAAGAGTATAAATATTTTTGGAGTTGAAAAAGGTCAATAAATGGTAAAATAATTCTGATTTTAATGTTCATGTACATATGTTCACTGGTTACTGCTTTGAATTTAATTTAAGACGGCCTTTTTAATAAGCAGAAAATGTGCATTTTTATATTGTTTAAATTTAATATGGATTTTTCTTCAAAACAACACAGACATTCAGGCTACTTGTAAATGATACAAGATTTTTTGCTAATGAGGCATTATGTAGAACATATGCAAAAATCACAACTCAGTCTTCCAAAATAGACCACAACAACAGGAAAAAACATGATTTTAATAAAAAAGAGCAGCACTGGGCTTTGACTTCAAAGCAATTAAGGGCTTTGGATAACCAAAAGTTTATGTCAAGCTGATGCCAAACCAAACTGGTCTATTAAACACATACTATGAAGAGTTTCTGTAATATTCTATGAAAAGGCTCTTTGCCATAAATATCAAGCGCTGCCACTCTGAAGATTACAACTACGTTAGGTTCATGTTTGAGAACAAGGAGTCCAACATCCAGATCAGGCTTCTAGAATTTCAAATCTGAAATAATGCATCTGTGAAAGAAAAGTTTAAACATGTTTCCCATTTTGTGATTTTTCTCTACAGTAAATTATACCAAGTTTTATATTCTCCCTAACGTTTTTTTCAAGTTTTCCATTAGTCTCAAAAAAATTGCTGTTACATATAAAATTATAAGCTATGTGTAAACATGTAAAAAAGGCATTGAAGATCCTTATTGTAAGCTATTTCCTCAGTTTCAACAACTGTATTTCAAGCAACAATATGCTATTCTCTATAGGTATCTTTCCTTCTAAGCAAATAACATGTAAATTTTCAATTTTATAAAATCAGTGAAGTAGGTGACACACTGATTTATTTCTCTGGTCTCTGCAATAAAAGTTCCTTTGCCTGTAATACTCATTTTGTCTCTGCTTTTAATTCTTGATGTGACAAAAATAGACTGCTACAGAGTAAATAATATAGCCCCCTAAGAAGGGACTTACCTCTTCTATGTGTATATGTTGGTGTCTCTTGTTGGTAATATTTATAGTAGGAAAGTATGTATCCTTGTCTATCACTCTATTTCTTCTGTTGTTCTAGTTTTAGGATTGAAGGACTTTTGGATTTCCCTTTCAGTTAACACCAGCTCCTAAATGATCACATCCCTTTGGAAAAGGGAATGGCCAACACAGTGTCCACCTTACCCTATATGAACTTGAGAAATGAAACAGGGAAAGCAATCCTTGACAACCTTGTACTCAGTGGTTGAGTAAAGATGTGGACTGACCCAAACTTGAGCTTGGCCCCTATGTGAATTTTTATATTCAGACCGTGTCTTAAACATGGCTGTTGGCATTTACTAAGATCACCATATTCAGTGTTGAGGTCTGGTCCTTTAGCACTGCTTCTCACAAGGAACCATTCTTGGTTTTTAAAGTAGGCCAAATCTAAATCTTCTTCCTACAGAAATAGGAATAGCTCGTAGGTATTGAAGCTTATGCTTTAGCCAGAGTTCAAATTACATCCCCTAATTTAAATATGATTCTCAAAAATATTCATGTTTCTTTTGCCTTGTACTTAGAAAGGTATATAATGTCACTAGACATATAGAATTGCTCATATAATTTAATTTTACACATAGTTTTTTAGGAATAGAATTTTTAGAGGTAACACTAATCTGATAAATCTATGAAATATAAAGCTTTTTATATATTTTTAGTCCACTTCTTTTTAACAAGTCTGATATAAAGCATCCTTTCTTAGCTTCTTCATATATTACTACATATGTTTAGTTTGTTAAAAGATGAATAAACTCTGAATCTGAAATGAAAAGCTAGAAAATCTTACTTGGTTTTTCTAATAAGAACCTAGCCATACAAGTATGATATCAAACTTGTTGGAAAGAAGAAAAATAAATAGAGTAACTAGGTCTGGTTTAAAAAAAAAATCCAGAGAAATAAAAGAGACATAATAACCAAATGCTACGTGTAGACCTTATTTGGATTCCAATTCAAATGAACAATAGAAAGACATCTTCACAGAAGTTTGAATATAAACTAGTTATTAGACAATATCAAAGAACTACTGTGATTTTTATTAGGGGTGATAATGGCATGGTAGGTACGTTTTGAAAAATTCCTTTTCAGACAGAAATAGAGGTTGAGTATCTATGAGTGAGGTGACATGATATCTGGCTGGGGATAGTTAGGAAAATAAATGTGAGGGGACAGATGAACAAGATTGGCAAGATGCTGATAGTTGTTAAAGCTGAGCGATGTGTATGTAGGGGTTCAATATACTATTCTCTACCTTTTGGGTATGCTTAGTTCAAAAAAAAAAAAAAGAAACGAAAAGAATCCATAAAGGGAAAACATAATTCAAGAAAGAATATGTTAAAAAGATAAAGTATTGTTGAAAGCACAATGTCAAAGCAGAAAATGAATGATCAGGTACTAAGAACCAAAAAATGGCAAAAGAGGATTGGAAATAAAATATCGTACATTATAAAATGTCAGAGATGACAAAAACAAGCAATCCCTATTTAATAAATGGTGCTGGGAGAACTGGCTAGCCATATGCAGAAAACTGAAAATGGGCCCCTTTCTTACATCTTATACAAAAATCAACTCAAGATGGATTTAAGGACTTAAATGTAAAACCCGAAAGTACAAAAACCCTAGAAGAAAACATAGGTGATATCATTCAGGATATAGGCATGGGCAAAGATTTCACAACAAAGATGCCAAAGCAACTGCAACAAAAGCAAAATTGACAAATGGGATCTGATTAAACTAAAGAGTTTCTGCACGGCAAAAGAAACTATGAACAGAGTAAACAGACAACCTACAGAATGGGAGAAAATTTCTGCCATCTATCCATCTGACAAAGGTCTAATATCCAGCATCTAGAAGGAACTTAAGCAAATTTACAAGAAAAAAAAGTCAAACAACCCCATTACAAAGTGGGCAAAGGACATGAACAGACTTCTCAAAAGAAGACATCATGTGGCCAAAAAACATATTTAAAAAAAAAAAGCTCAACATCACTGATCATTAGAGAAATGCAAGTCAAAACCACAATGAGATACCATCTCACACCAGTCAGAATGGCGGGTCAAAAAACAATAGATGCTGGTAAGGTTATGGAGAAAAAGGAATGCTTTTACACTGTTGGTGGGAGTGTAATTTGGTTCAACCACTGTGTAAGACTGTGTGGCCATTCCTCAAAGAACTATAGGCAGAAATACCATTTGATGAAGAAATCCCATTACTGGGTATACACCCAAAGGAATAAAAATTGTTCTATTATAAAGACACATGCACAGGTATGCTCACTGCAGTACCAGTCACAATAGCAAAGATATGAAATTGACCTAAATGCATACCAATGATAGGCTAGATAAAGATAATGTGGTACATATATACCGTGGAATACTATGCAGCCATAAAAAAGAATGAGATCATGGCCTTTGCAGGGACGTGGATGGAGCCGGAGGCCATTATCCTTCACAAACTAATGCAGAAACAGAAAACCAAACACTGCATGTTCTCACTTTAACTGAGAGCTAAATGATGAGAACAGATGGACACACAAGGTCAGGGTAATAACACACACTGGGGCCTGTCAGAGGGTGAGGGGTGGGAGGAGGGAAAGCATCAGGAAGAATAGCTAGTGGAAGCTGGGCTTAATATCTGGGTGACGGGATTATCTGTGCAGCAAACCACCATGGCACATATTTACCTAACAAACCTGCACATCCTATACACGTACCGCTGAACTTAAAAGTTGGAAATTATTTAAAAAATGTTTTTTAATGTCATAGATGAAAAGGCAGCAAGGATACTATCTACAGGTCCTACTGTCATCTTATTACAGCCAACAGATTGCAATCCAAACTTGGAATATTAGGGATCTTTTTAGGATTACAAACTGGTAGCATATTATGGAATTACCATCTTTTAAGGTTGAAAAAACTAATGCTGGACTTAATGTACAAGGTATGCCAACAGCTGAGTGCTTGTCACCCATACTTCTCTCAGTAGTTATAATATAATGGTATCAGAACTTCCTGCAATCTTGGCAAATGGGGTAAATGAACAGAGAAAACAAGATGAGGGTGATTTCCACCCATCAGAAGCTGCTTAAAAGCACAGCAGGTTAGGGAAAACTGTCCTTAGACTAGAGCTCTTGACAGCAGTTGGTAGGTCGAGCATAGGCTTATATGAAGAATGTTAAGTAGAAACATGATTTTTAAACAGACTAGATAAACTTATCCTTTTATGGCACATGACAAAGTATTTTAAACTAATTTTGACCTTATCCAAGTGATATTTCTGTTTTAACATACCTTTGATCTGTAGCTTGCTGTTCTCGAAGCTGAAGAAGAGATAACTCAATTTCATTTTCTTTTCTCCTCAACTGAGTTTTCAGGATCTCAGCCAAGTGCTCTAACTCCTCTATCTGGTCTCTTTGTGACTGAATAACATTTTCCCTGAAATAAATGGCCTTTGTAAGAACTTGTAGTTTGAGGAAAAATTTTCAGTAGTTAAGATCAGTGCAAAGAAAGTTCTTCATGAAAAAGAGCAAGCAGAAGTTAAAAAATTTAGCTTAAGTGCCTCTGCACACAGTGAAATAGTAGCAGATTAAATGTGATGATTTGGAAATACATATAGAACAATGCAAGATACTGCTTTTTATGATAAGGTCCTAGGCAATGGATTGGACTTTGCTTTGATTCAATTAAGTAAGTATTTATTGTGCAGTACACCTACTATGTATGCCACAATCTGGTCTTCAGAATATTTATAAGCCTTTGTTCTTTCATATATACACATCTGCTTATAACACCCAAATTAACACTTCAGAGAGAGGTGGCAGGAAATTTGCCAAGTATAACTTAGTGGTCTCTGGCATGCATTTATGCCAGACTCTATCATGTCTGGCAGCATCATACCGTAATGAGCCTCAGGAACTGGTATAAACGTTGGCTTTTCAGGTGATCATCAGGTAACAAGATTATGTCTAGTCTTTTATTTTCCTGCAGGCTAATCATTGCTGTAATTGCTACTTAAAATATTCAAAAGGAAACATTTGAAGACCACATTATTCTTAAGCAACTATCTTAAATAGGATACTGTGTGCCATGTTTCCCTTTCTCATGAAGTATTGTTACTTTTTGATGATCAAGGTGAAGGCTTAAAGCGGAAACTTACCTTCATTTGTGTGACTCACAGACACTGAAACCATGAGGCTTGGATTAACTAGAAAAGTAAGCTAAATATGGTAGAAGTAACTTTTTTGAAACCATGATATGATGAAGAATGCAGTGCCATAGACTCACACGAAAACAAAATCTGAAATCCATATGTATCTGATAATTCCAAACTTTTATGCCACTCCCCAATTCTTTATTTTTTTTTTAACCAACAAAAGGGCTAATTGATTCAGGATCTAAAAAAATTACCTGTGATTTTCTGGGAATAAAAATGTTGCCTCTAAATCTTACACTATTCTAACTGACTAGACTTTATGCCATTCCTCTGAGGGTAAAATTATAATAAAGAAGACTATTAGATAAATCCTTCCATTGAGGCAGCTGGATAAGTTCTTCATTTTCCTCATTTTTCTGAGAACATGTTATAAAATATCTGTTGTTACCCTACAGAACATAGCTGTATTTCAGTGGAGCAAACTGTTTATATGTAGCCCAGTTTGATTTAAAATAAAAGAAAGGGAAGGATTAAAAAAAGACATTATCAATAACCAAAGTTCTCAAATGACCACAAAAAAAGAACACATACAAATTTCTTATTTCTCCTCTGGCTTCTTCAAGTAAAGTGTTGCCATATTTTGTAAACATGGGATGTAGAGTTTCTGCTACATCTACATCTTGGAATCTTATACCTAAAAACAAAGTAATAAAATACGATTATAGAATTGAAGTTAGAAAAGAAGGATCTTTGATTTGCTATAATAAGGATATTTATAATAAAATCTTATTAAGTATTAAGAGGTATGTGTTTTATAGTACACAGAATTATAAATACACTGCCAAAGGGAATATATGATCTCAGCCACTAGAAGGCATTAAATAAAACACAGCAGCAAGTATTGCTCATTTTGCAAATCTACTGTAGAAATCAAATTACCTAGAAATAATTTTATTCAACTTAAGATTTAGAGTCCTGCAGTAATTTCTGAAATAAATCACTCTTCTATCCAAGTTTTAACAATGTAAATAGGTTATAAAAGCTTGATTTTTCCCCAGTGCTTGTGATAAGGTTTTTTTTTTTTTTTTTTTAAATTACTCATTTATATTCCTTGCCCTTAAATGTTTAAGTAAAAATGTTTTCTGCATTTTGATTTATTCCAACCCAATAAGAAAATCCCTATTTATGAAAAGGTACTTTGAGAATGGATCATCACTAGAATTCCTTTAAATAAAACATTTCCCTGTTGCACTGAAAATATTTTTTTCTTATAGAAATAATTATGTACAATTTTACAGAGACAGTCCCATTGTTAAAAATAAGATATATTCTTAATTATGTGAGTTATTTTACATTTATAGAATAAATACTAGAGTTTAAGGTAGATAAAGCATCACAGATGATTAAGATTTTTAAATGGAGAACAAAACAACAAATTTATTCTCTTTAGAAAAGTTAACTTTCTAAAAGTGAGATTTAATTGCTCTGCATATTCTCAGTAAAGAGAAAATTTAAAAAAAAGAGAATTTGAACAAGAATAATGGAACTATTACTTGCTCTTTCCAAAGCAGTCAATACCTATTGCTGTAATCCTGAAAAATAGAAAAGGCTCTCCCTAAAACATTAAAATAGTTTACTGTGTTAGAATTTGCCAATTATATTATTTTGGCAGTAATGCTAATTCTTACGCTTTTCCTACATACATCATGAAAAAATTCAACATTACTAGTGGAAATAAAAAATACTCAAAACATATCTTAAAACTTACAGTCTCATGTTGATTTGCCAATGGTCATATATCTATCTATCTATCTATCTATATAAATCCTTTTAAAGATTGATACATAATATTTGTACATATTGGTGGGGTACATGTGGTATTTTGATGCATGTATACAATGTGTAACGATCAAATCAGGGTATTTAGGATATCTATCACCTTGATCACTTCTCATTTGTGTTGGGAATATTTCAAATCTCTTCTGGTTATTTTTGAAATATTCAGTATGCTGTTGTTGCCTATAGACACTCTACTGTGCTATAAAACACTAGAACTTTTAATCTATCTAACTGTATCTATGTGCCCATTAATCAACCTCTTTTCATCCTCCCCAGTGCCCCATACTCTTCCCAGCCTCTAGTAACTATCATTCTACTCTCCACCAATGGTTACATTTTAAAACCTTTGCTTTACAAAGATCTCTGTTCCACTGGTTCCTCACAATAAGTATTGTTGCTATATTACATTGATCACACATTTAGCCAGTGCTTTCCATCCTTTATCCTGACAAGGCACAAACAGAAAACAGTAGTATTTGTACAGCAGCTTGATGGTAAAGGCTGCTTGTGGCCAGAGAGGTGTTTTAGGGTTCTTAGCCAGCCATCCCAGGCTGAGATATTTTCTTGACAAGTCTGGCCTGTCTCAGCCTCAAAAGTGGTCCTGAAGAGCCTGTTAAGGTGTCAGTTTTGGTAATGATGCTTCAGGTTTACTCATAAAGACTGATTAAGAAAGTATTCATCACTACTTAATGTTTTGTGTCACTTCCATGTCCCGAACTCTATCCTGAACAGTGAGAAAGGTCTGAATCACCAACAGAGTACAAATGTAAGCAGAAATTTAAACTATGTAGTCATGTTTTTAAGAGTCTGCTGATCTGTGGCTCTTAATTTCGCTATAGGGAGGAACTTCCAGCAAACTCTCCCGTCTGAACAGCAATTTATAGCACTAGATTAGCTTGCCATTTTAATTAACATTGACAATATTATGATTTTATCAAAGAGAAAGTCAAAACTTATATTTCTCTTCCTAAAGACACTTGAAAGCATGAATAATACAGAAACAAAACTTTGTGTTTTTTGTGTTAAGTGAACTAATAAAACTTCAGTTTAGATTTAATGTAAAATCTGGGCATTAGACTTATTTATTTATTTATTTTTGAGACCGAGTCTCCTCTGTCACCCAAGCTGGAGTGCAATGGCGCAATCTCGGTTCACTGCAACCCCTGCCTCCCGGGTTCAAGCGATTCTCCTGACCCAGCTTCCTGAGTAGCTGGGATTACAGGCGTGTGCTACCAAGCCCAGATAATTTTTTAAATTTTTAGTAGAGATGGGGTTTCACTGTGTTGGCCAGGATGGTCTCGATCTCCTGACCTTGTGATCCGCCTGCCTTGACGTCCCAAAGTGCTGGGATTATAGGCGTGAGTCACTGCACCTGGCCTAGACTTACTTATTTTTAGAGACAGTGTCTCACTATATTACCCAGGCTGGACTCAAACTCCTGGGCTCAAGTAATCCTCTCACCTCAGCTTCTCGAGGACTTTAGGTGTATGCCATTGTGCCTAGTGTGAACATTATTTTTATTTAGTATAAAAGGTCTTGCAGACTTTAGAGATCATCTTGCCCAGTTCCAGTTCCAGATGGCAAAACTAAGGTTCAGAGAGGATAGGTCACTTTAAAGGTAAAATATATTATTGTGGGAGCTACCATCTCCTGATCTCTTATCCAAGCTGTATTATTATCACTCCATTTTATACATGGGGAAAATGAGGCTGAGGTCAGTATTATCTTCCATGTAAAAAAGTTAAGCAGTGGCAGAATGTACTTTCTGATTTATAATTCATTATGCTTACTTTAGTTGTATTCAGAGTCTATTGCCAATCTCACATAGCTAGGAGTAGCCAAGCCCTTTCATCCTGCAGCTGCCTCCTGCCTGTGTGGAGGCCTTATTGACTTCAAAGGAACTCTATCTAGGGAAAAGATAGTGTTAACATTTTGGCTTGGAGAGCAAACTACAACAAATTTTTCTCCCTTTCTGTTCATGGTTTTTTTTGTTTTGTTTTAATTCTTCAAAGAATTTAAACTAAAGTTTTACATGCTACTTTATATCCCTAAAAATGTTTGGTCTTTATGTAAAGTATATTGCAAACAAAAACCAATTATAACTAAAACCTAATTTCCTCTCCTAGTAGTTGAAATTTTAAAAATGTTACTTAAGATATTTATTGAATTGTGGTTCCATTATAATAAAGTTTCTCTGTGGGTGAAGAGAACTGAAAATTTTTATTAGAAATATTTATGTTCTATATTGAGTCTTGTCTACACAATTGAATTACTTTGCAACTTGGGTACATTTTAGGTTATTAATTTTTAAAGTGAATAAAGTGATTGGCCTATGATCATTTTTAGAGATGGAAGAGACCTTTATCGTCACTTGTTTCAAGGCTTTTACTTTACATGTAAAGAAAACTCAGGGTCACAGTGATTAGGAGGCTTGTCTAAGGTCACCAGCTAGTAAGTGGAGAAATAAGGACTCAACTTTTTAAACCCCTAGTTACATGCACATGCCACTGTCATGCTACTGCCATCCAATGAGAAAGATTTCAATACTTTTGCAAATTTTCGAAATGATCTTTGGATGAAGAACTTAAATGTGATCATTCAATACAGTAAATGTGGTCATATGTAAGCAAACTAGTTGGTTTCTCTACCTGCCTGAGTACAGTGTATTTAACCAACCCAAACTCAATTCAACTCATTTTACTTAGTTTCATACATGTCTCTTACGTTAAGGTTATGCAGAATATTTTTACTAAATAAATTTGAGACTGATATAGTGATCCTTAAATAATCTTCTTTGACAATATTATTTTATCAAAGAGAAAGTCAAAAATTATTTTTCTCTTCCTAAAGACGCTTAAAAGCATGAACAACACAGAAGTAAAACTTTGTGTTTTTTTTTTGTTGTTAAACAATCCAATAAGACTTCAGTTTAGATTTAATGTAAGCTTTGTTTTACCTTTCCTGGGGCATTCCTGTAAGCCTGCATTTTCATTTGCTTTTCTACGTCCAGTGTTAATACGAGATTGTACATTATTGTATGGAGTTTGCCTGTAACCCTGGGTTTGAAGTTGCTGTTTGGCTGAAATCAGTCTGTTTTTGAGGGCTTCATTTTGTCTTTCAAGCTCATGAACTTTCTCTTGCAGCTGCTCAATCATTTCTTCCATTTCCACATCTCGTCCGAGCCGCTTGGGGCCGCCACCAACCCGCTCATATCTTTTCTTGTCATTAACTAGCCGTATTAACTTGGTGGCCATTCTGGGGAAATAATAAAAAGATGAAAAGGAATGTGAGAAGTCAGCATAAAATGCATTCTGTTGAAAGGAACATAATCACTGTGAAGACTTCAGTGCAGAACCTGAATAATAAATTTCAGGTTTTGATGTAACTATTACTGCCTGTGAAGAATCCTTTGATGATAATTGAAACCACTGGGCAACAATCTGCTTTATAGCACTGACAAATAACAGTTTCCTAAGGCTTATCATTTAAGGTTAGTAAAGAGAGGACACATATTTACTCCATATGTTCCTGAAATGCAATTTTTAACGCATGACCTTATATAGGAATGCTGTATGCAGTTGAGTGTAGTTACAGATTGTGGATGTGGTGGGTTATATCTGCAATCCACAGTAAGTTAAAACTTTTGAAAAGTGTGTTAAGACTGTGCAGCATTTAGGTAATATATTGTTTTCAGTTTCTCCAGGATTAAGACACACTATAAATACAAAAATGTTAGAATGCATAAATGCACACATATGAAGCCCAATGAAAAATCCAAAGGAAACCAAAATGCACCAATAAATGTTGCTTAGTGCTCAAGAAACACTTGTGTTTAATGGTAAAAAATAATTAGATGCAAAAGCATCATTTTAATGCTATCTTTAAATTTGGACATAAATTGTGCTTTTGACATATCAGGAGTTTATACCCTTGATTCTTTTAAGTTTTGATAAAAACTGGTTAGAAAGAACAAAAGACAGAAAGGGCACATGGGGGTGATGTAATATACACGTACGGAAAACATGCCTGACAGTGAATGGAAAAATCTTGGCAGGACAAGAAAGAAAAGGTGGCTTTGATGAGAGACACAAGTTCAAGACTTTACAAAATTGGTCGCACATCTTCAATAGCTGATTCTAGTTTATAGTGAATCTATTTTTATAAAGACCCAGACAGGAGATTGAAAATAAAACACACTTCATTTTTCTTTAAATGGGTTTTGCTTTATTTTAGCACGGTTATGGACAGAAGCTTTTACTTAAGGGAACAAAAGTGAAATAAAAAAATCCTTAATAGCTTTGGGATGTCACAGAACAACCTTTTTTCTGCCCTAAGCGGAGTCCGCTGTAAATGCGGTAGTAATACATGTCTATCTACACTTCTGGCTACTCGGCCTACAGCATGTGGCATCAGGGAGAGCTATGCATAACATAATCAGTTAAGATTGTTTTCTCCTTCCCTGGAGGCACATCCATTAAGCATGCTTTATAAAGGATATAGGATAATAAAAACCAAGATCCAAGAGTACCACAAACACTCTAGTAAAATAATCAATGGATTAGTTCCTTTTCCACCTAATTCTGAGAATGATATATCACTGGGAAATTTGGCCAGGTATCACAGTCCAAGAGGGCCACACACCCTACCTAGTCCTTTAATGAGTTTAGGGTCCTAAGCCCCACCCAATGGCCTGTGCATAAAAGTAAGGTTGTCATACAATTGAGATGTCAACCTAAATATCTGAATTTTCTGTTACAGACAGACTTTCACACAGAGATATAGATTACATTCAAAAGAAAGACACAGATTTAATGTAAAAAGGCAGTTAACAACCAGAGAAAAATAAACGACCCTAATTTTTAAGGCAGGAAAAGCACATCAATAGGGGATCTTTAAATTCTTCAAATGATGCTCAAATAAACTTTGTCAAGAAACATGATTTCATGTGTTTGTCTCGTAATAGGCATACATTCCATTTGTTGGATTTGATTATTTTATATTAATGAATCATACGTGATCTGGCAAAGTCTGAGTGCTTATTTAAAAAGGTAGTTTTGGCTAGACGCAGTGGCTCACGGCTGTAATCCCAACACTTTGGGAGGCCAAGGTGGGCGGATCACCTGAGGTCAGGAGTTCATTTGAGACCAGCCTGGCCAACATGGTGAAACCCTGTCTCTACTAAAACATAAAAATTAGCTGGGTGTGGTGGCAGGCACCTGTGATCCCAGCTACCTGGGAGGCTGAGGCAGGAGAATCGCTTGAACATGGCAGGCAGAGGTTGCAGTGAGCTGAGATCGTGCCACAGCACTCCAGCCTGGGCAACAGAGTGAGACTTCCTTTCAAAAAATAAAAAATAAAAATAAAAAAATAAAAAATAAAAAGGTAGTTTATAAAATCTACATTTACAGAAAATAGTAATACTTTTTTTTTTTTTGAGACAAAGTTTCGCTCTTATTGCCCAAGCTGGAGTCCAATGGCATGATCTCGGTTCTCTGCAACCTCCGCCTCCCGGGTTCAAGTGATTCTCCTGCCTCAGCCTCTGACTAGTTAGGATTACAGGCTTGCGCCACCACGCCCAGCTAATTTTTTGTATTTTTAGTAGAAATGGGGTTTCACCATGTTAGCCAGGCTGGTCTCGAACTCCTGATCTCAAGTGATCCGCCCATCTCAGCCTCCCAAAGTGCTGGGATTACAGGCGTGAGCCACTGCGCCCGGCCTATTTACTTCCTAAGGATAAATTTAAAGACAGTTCTACCCATGTATCTAGGTCACAGTCAGCGGTGTGAGATTGAGAGGAATTTAGAGCTTTTGGGTCATACTGTTCATTGGATCATGACTCTCATAGCTAAGTAAAATAAACTTCCAGGAGGTTAAAGGGCTTGAACATACCATAGGCTAGTGGCACAGAGATAACAGAATGCATACATACAACTTGATTCCTAGATCAGTCCTTTTCCCATTAAACTACATGGCTCATTATTAAGTTGTTTTTTATTTTCTGGCTATGACAAATTACTAATGAGGTCAAATATGTGAATTCAATTCTTTTACTGACCAATTAGGTTTACAAAGAAAAAAAATTGTTAGGTGGTCATAACCGACTACATGCCTCTTTCTGACTGGCTGATGTGTGTGGGATAATGATCAGAAAAGGAATTAGGCAAGTAAGTCACAAATCTTGAAAACAGCCCTCATCATGACTAAAACCCAACTCAAAGTAAAAGGCTTGCACATAGCAGGTCAGTGGGTTGTTAAAGTCCACAGAGTAGAAACTGAACTGGAACCACCTCCTCAGGATGAAATCTAAGCAGAAAAACCCTATTTTCATTCCTCAATGGCTGTCTCACCTTTTCTTTGAACCTAGAACATAAATATGAATACAGACCTGCTCATGATTACACATCTGAACACACTTTGTTTTTAATGCCGTCCCTTCAGAAGATAGGCACAGCATTTCTGAATAAAAAAGAATGAAAGAGTATCTACTCTTAAGAAATCATTTTTGCCAAGATTTTTTGCACATAAATCAAAAGTGACAATACTGTTTCTTCAGAAACAGTAGAGACTCTTTGAAATCAATATAGAATCTAGTATAACCCAAGCAAAGTTAAATACGTTCCAGAGACTGAAGTGATGTTTTCATTAGTAAACCCCAAATCTTAAGGGAACGTGCATTCTAACAAGTTAGAATAGTTAGTTACTTTTTAAAACTTTCATTTTAAAATCAAGACATTTAAAACACAGATGCTTTGGCCATTTGCTTATTAAACTATAAATATTAAACCAAAAGTTATTTATAGATATGATATACTCCTGGCACTCTTAGCTATTAGCTTTTCTCTTTTAAACAGCAAATTCAGACATAATAAACACTCATTATCTTTTTGGTTTATTATTCTAGTTTGCAAGATTTTCCATTTTTAAAAATTGTACTTATTTACATCCTGCCTTGTTCCAAAAAAGATTCAAGGTGGGGTTTTCAATTAAGTTTATAAAATACCATACCCTTCAAATTTTACTGAGTCAAGAAAAAAAGCTAAAAGCTTTTTATCATAACCTTTTAATTTTATCCTCTTGCTTGCGGGCATGCTGTTTAAGTAAAATGTTCTCATCATGCAAACGCAAAAATCTGTCTTCCAGTTCCTCACGACTGACACGTGACACTGCCTGGCGAGACTTCATTGTCCGTGTTGTTGAAGCTTCTGCAAAAATGCCAAGATAATTAATTGTGAGGTTACTTAAAATAGTCTCTAAAAACTCTTGATATTAATATCACCTCTGATGCACTAATCTTAGATTTTTTCCTTTGGGACCTACAGTTAAGATTGCTTTAGAAAATGCTGTAGTATTGTTTACATCAATTATTTAAGGTAAGAGTAAAAATCTTTGCTATTAATACTTTACATACAGTACTAGGAATTTGAACAACAATAGTATCCATTCAAAAATGTATTCAAGTAGCCATTCTTTAAGAATATAAGACGAAATTCTGATTCAATAAAGACGTTTGAATTTACATGCTGAATGTTGTGACAACTAAGAGAGTATCTGAAAGTTATTTTTTTACAAAGGCAAGAGTAAGAGTAATTTGGTAAACATATTATGACTAAGATATTTTTCTGCACTATGGGTGTTTTAGAAAACAAACTATAAAAGTTGTAAGATCAAATCAAAAAACCCCTAAATTTAAAAATTATTATTTAAAAGCTTCACAAATAATTTCTCTATATACTACCTTATATAAATTTTAAGAATGTTTATACTCTTTAGCATGCATATATGATATCTTTTTACAGACGCTTAAATTTGGTATTTTCCATAACATTGTGAAGTAGGTCGATTTCCAACAATTCTCCAAGAGAAACAAAGAACAAACTGATAGAGACTAAGGTCCTGTGATAGGTTACTGAGGACAAGAATTGAACTCACAGAGTATCAAAACCCAATAAACTGCTTTGCACACTTAAAATTTATTCGTATTTTAATACCTGGTGCTCCCTGAAAGATCTGCAAAGCAAAGCTTACACATACTTTTTACTTTTAACAATAAAATATGTGTAGCCAAAAATTAGCTGGGCGTGGTGGCGCATGCCTGTAAACCCAGCTACACAGCGGGCTGAGGCAGGAGAATCGCTTAAACCTGGGAGGCGGAGGTTGCAATGAGTGGAGATCCTGCCACTGCACTCCAGCTTGGGTGACAGAGTGAGACTTCATCTCAAAAAAAAAAAAAAAAAAAAATTCTATGTAGCCAAATTTTACCTTTTCAATAAACAATACATTGACCACTTTTCTGGTTTTCACAGTGGCCATTTACACTGCTCTGATTAAAAAGTGTACGTAGATTCCTAAATGGAATGTATCTTAAATCCCTAGCCTTCTCAGGCTAGAGGGGGATTTCACATTTTCTATGAGCTGTTGATAATTGATACATGCATGAGAGCATAGCTGACACAATGAACAAACAAAGATAAACACAGCTCTCTGTTCTAAATTGTTCTTTAATGTGGTGCTTTTCTTTCTCAATTTGAAAGTGCTTTTTAGCTCTACAGCAACTACTAAGTGATAAAAGGATAAAGAAAACCTTTAATCCATATTAATTTGATAAAAAAGTCACTATCATGTGAGATATTCTACTTCAAAGGCAAAACACTTAAAATATGGCCTTTCCTCCCATATAAAATTTAAACACAAAGAAATGTTTTAATACTGAATATAATTTAAACCAGGCAATTCGGTTTGGAGGCTTGATACTCTCTATGTAGTTTCTACTGATGTAAGGAATTTTAAAAAGATGATTTATGTTAATTTTTTATCAGAACAGAGGGGGGATTGTACATTTTCTATGAGCTATTGATAATTGACGCATGTAGTGAAATACCATATGTGTTCGAAACTCTCCATCTTTTTGTTTAGTACAATCAAGGACTATATAGTTACTTAAATGGTTTGGGTTGTATGAGTATCAGAAATACTTTAAATTAAAAGTAAAGAAGTCAGTGATCAAAGTTCATAACTGTAATAAATAACAGCTGGCCATACCTTGTAACCCTCCCATTCCAAAGAGGTTTAGACCTGTATCTTTCACAGGCAAGTCTCCTGCAGTCTCATCAGTTGGACCAGACATGGCCTAGCTGTGGAAAAAAGAAAATTCAAATAAACTCTTTCCAAGTTATTACATTAACTAAGCAATGGAATGAATCAAATAAAATGAAAACGGGACTGGAACTTTAATGGGCATCTTATTGTCCATATGTGCTGCTTGGAGAAGATGAAAGCTTCTACTCTAAAAGTACTACTACATTCAATCATGGAGACAGTGTTCCTTTCAACAGTATATTTCCTACAGTTTGCTTAGGAAATGAGGTAAGATTATCATTTAAGAAATACCTCCTCTCCATCCCTTTCCTCTCCCCAGCCTCCAAAAGAGAGCAGGTATCTTGGAAAAAACTCAGGTCAGGAACTTGATTCAAATGGTTGCTCTATCATTAACGAACTAGTTAAGCCACCTAAACTCTCTGAGTTTCAGTCTCTCAGCTTTAAAAAGGAGAAAATAGTACCTATCTCAGAGTTATTCTAAGGGTAAATGGGATGAGTAAAGTAAAAGCACTGATCACATGTGCCTGGGATGTCAATATTACTCAAATATTAATTGTCTGCTTGATGCACAAATGAGTGGGCAGTTCCAAGTTTTGTGAAAGAGGTTTCGTTGCATAAATTTACCAACTGGGTTAGGTTTTTTTTGTGTGTGTGTGTCTTGCCTTTGTTGCCATGAGGCTTAGGTGCCGCCCAGAGTTCAACTACTTCAACATATAGGCTGTCTAGCTAATTCTGGTATTTTTATAGTTTCTATTCTTTACAGAAATGCACCACAGTAGCTTTATTTTGAATGTGGATATGAGTGGTCCATACAGTATCTAGTATGCAAAAATAAAGGATTTTATATTTTCATTTCAATCTACCTAGTAAGCTAAATGCAAACTGTGAATGAAGATACTCTAAAGGGCAGAGTTCTTAAGCTCTAGGATATTGGTTCTAGAATGTAAAGACCAAGACAGTAGCAAGTTTCATTGTCTTGTTCACCTCTGTACTCTTTGAGGCTAGCATAAAGCTTAGTGCATTCTGAGAGCAGGCATTCATTAAATAGTTGTTGAGTGAGTGAATGGAGTCCATGGGGTTTCAGGGTCTGTGAACCCAGAGATGGTTTACCAAATTTTGTATGTATACGTATATATATAATATCTTTTAAGGAGGGTTCATAACTTTTATTATAACTCACAAATGGTGGAGAACCATTGCATTTTGCTGTTACAGAAACAGCTAACAGACAAATCCTTGGGAGATCATCTACTTCTTTTGGAAGTACTGCTATAGAAAAGGTCAATTTTTAGGATCCTGTTGACACACAGGCCCATGTACGAAAATGATTAGTTTTCCATGACAGAATTAAGGTCACTTTAAAAATAATGAGAATGATGATAATGATGATGATGATGATGTTGATGGTGTTAACATTCATTGAATGCTTATTATGTGCCAGGTACTGTTCTAAGTGCTCTGTTATAGGAATTAATGAAGTGTCTCGCCATATCCTTGTGAGGTTGTTACTCAAATGATTACTGCTTTACAAATGAGGAAGCTGAGACACAGATTAGTTAACTAAGGTAGTAGTTGGAAGTATTAATAGTTGTGTCTGGTGATATTTTTGGTTGTCACAACAAGGAAGGGGGATGCTACTGGTATCTAGTGAGTAGAGGCCAGGGATGATGTTAAATATCTTACAGTGCTTAGGAGACATAATAATGAATTATCCAGCCCAAAATGTTAATAATAGTGTGGAAGCTGAGTAATCCTGAACAACGCCGCAATGCCTCTCCAACACCATCTCATGTTATCCTTCTTTGCTCAGTATGCTTCACCTACATTATTCTTTACTTTCCTCGAACCCCCCACACCCTTGTGTACTCAAGGCCTTTGTATTAGCTGGCTCCTCAGTCTTTGGAGTTCAGCTCACTTCCTCAGACAGGCTTTCCCTGACCATCCTATGTTAGAGTAATCTTCCTTACATTTCTTCACTGTTTATTTCTTTTCTTTTCTTCTTTTTTTTGAGACACGGTTTTGCTCTGTTGTCCGGGCTGGCCTTGCATTCATGGGTTCAAGTGATCCTCCCACCTCACCCTCCCAAGTAGCTGGAACTACAGGTGCGTGCCACCACGCCTGGCTTGTTTCTCTTATAGCAACAGTCTCTATCTGAAATTATCAAATAAATTATTGTTTGTCTCCATGAAAAAGGGATAAACATCTTGAGACGGGTATTAGTCTTGTTCACAGCTGTTCAGGAACAATGCCTGGTACAGGGTAGGAACCAATATTAATATATATTGAATGATTGGCTGGGCGCGGTGGCTCACACCTGTAATCCCAGCACTTTGCGAGGCCGAGACGGGTGGATGACTTAAGCTCAGGAGTTCGAGACCAGCCTGGCCAACATGGTGAAACTCCGTCTGTACTAAAAATACAAAAATTAGCTGGGTGTGGTGGCGCACGCCTGTAATCCCAGCTACTCGGGAGGCTGAGGCAGGAGAATCGCTTGAGCCTGGGAGGAGGAGGTTGCAGTAAGCTGAGGTCTTACCACTCCACTCCAGCCTGGGCGACAGAGCAAGAACCTGTCACACACACACACACACACACACACAAAAGAATAAAGAAAAAATATTTATTTGAATGAATAAATGAATACCAGGCACTGAGATTAAAATGGCAAGCAAAATCCCCGCCTTTATGAAGCTAGCAAGTTATGGAGGTAATCAGATGATAAACAAATAATATATAATTAAGCAAACAATAGAACACTCAGGAGTTTTAGGGTCAACCAACCAATTCCTAATCCAGGGCAAATGAGCAAACTGTGTTAGGGACCTACAACTTGCAGGATCTGGATAGAGATGGCAATTAGCAGCATCAACTCTCACCTTCATGGCTGGGATACATTTCAGGTTGGTCCTGGATGTGAGGATAAAGGGCGGGCTGTGATTCAGGCCTGAGGATGTGGAGGTGTCTCGGGCTGGGCTGCTTTCACGCGAGCAGAACTCCAGGGCCAACTCCAGGGCCTTCTCCAGACCGCAGAGCGGACCCTAGGACCCTGGCCCGCGCTGCAGTGGGGAGGGTCCGCAACCTCCACCCACCCCCATGCTCTCGCATCCTCCCGAGTACTCACCGCTCCACTGGCCCTGCAGCTAGCTACCGTTGCTATAGCGCCGACAGCGTGGCGGGCGGCTGGCCGAGAGGAGCACGGGAGAAACATGGTAGGCACCCGTTGCCTCCTGGGAAATGTAGTTCTCCTTGGACTCCAGCCTGTTTGCTCGCGGTGTAGAGGACTACGCTCTTCCAGCTGTCGGACCTGGGAAATTCTCCTGTTCTAAATCCCGAGGCACTCGCGGGCGTCGCCGCGGTGCATTCTGGGAGTTGTAGTTTTCCCCTCTCTGAGGGAGAATGACCCCGGACGGGAGCAGGACGCTGAGAGAACTACATGCAGGAGGCGGGGTCCAGGGCGAGGGGATCTACGCAGCTTGCGGTGGCGAAGGCGGCTTTAGTGGCAGCATGAAGCGCACCCCGACCGCCGAGGAACGAGAGCGCGAAGCTAAGGTATGTGGGGCTCCCGGGGCTTGGGGATCTTCGTGCACTGTGAGCTAGTATCAGGGAACCGGAAGGGCTTGGTTTGGTGGCGAGCGGATGCACAGTGTTAAGCTAAGGGATGACAGGGCCTTGTCAGCAAGGGACCTGGAGACATTGGAGGGGGTGTTACAAATTCTTCTTCAGGATGCAGGCCAAGTCTTGTTGGATCGGCTCAAAAATGAGAAGCAGGATACCCATTTCCTTGTCCTTCCTCTGCACCTATTCCTTGGTTAAATTTGTAACCATCTCTGTGCCTCAGTTTACCGGATTCTCAGGTGACTGTGATCATACCAGCTGTGCTTTCTCATAATGGTCTCTGAGGACTGAGATCGTCTTAGATGAAATATCTGTGCGGTCAGCTGTGTTTCTTTGGAACAATTGTCTCAGTGACCGGCTGATAACAGTTTGTGTCTTTCAGCGCGCTGTGGATATGAATCTTTAACTACATTGCTCCTCTCTACCTTTGGTGTTCAGTTTCCGGTAGTTGCCATTCCATGGGATGACCATAATAATGGCAACAGCGATTTTAAAAAGCATTTACTGTGGGTCAGGCACTGAGTTAGGTGCATAATATTTAAATTTTTTCATATCATTGTCACAGCAGATTACAAGATAGGTATTATACAGATGGAGTATAAACAACAGCCCTGCTTCACAGATGAAGAACTGAGACTCAGAAGCATTGAGTGTTTTCCTTTCTCTCATTCTCAAAGTCAGATCCTGTTGATTTGTCTACGTGTATTGGGAATCCGTCCACTTTTTTCTCCCACCTCCACTACCTTGGACCAAGCTACCATTATCTTTTTAATGGACTGTTGGAATAGCCTCTTGATTGGCCTATACTCACTCTACACCCTAACTTAACTCTTCTTCCACCTTCTCTCCCTTCCCCCAACTACCATTCTCTTCTGCACACCATAGAGTAAGATCTTCATGAAATGCAAATCTAATTATGTCCCTTTCCTTTCTCCTTACTCTGCCAACCACCTGTTTAAAAATATTCCATGGCTTTCTGTTGCTCTTAGGATAAAGACAAAACTTCACATTGCCTGCAATATCCTGCGTGGTGTGGACCCTACCTGCTTTCACAACCCCATTGGACATGACACTCTGCTGTCTGCCTCCCAGTCACTTTGGCCTCTTAAAAGTCACTCTTCCCTGTACTTCATCTGGCTTCAGGGCCTTTGCACACGTTATTTGCTGCCTACTATATGTTAGGCAAATATTGGCAGTGAATATCAGTGTTAAATAACATAGACACAGTTCTTGCTTTCATAGAATTTCATCTTACAAGTGAGTCTGTTTTAGGGCAATGCACCTAAGGATTTAAAATTTAAAATCTGCTCTATATTGACTTGAGTTATCGCAGTATTTCATGAGGGACTGGAAGTTTTCATGCTTGAGTCTGCAAATGATGTAGATAATATACTAAAGATAAGCACAAAGAGGGTGACTCTTCTGCTTTAGTCTACACAGTGCAAAGAAACAAATGTCGCCTCATGCTGTTGTGCGCGATGTCTTTCTCATCTTTCAGGTTTATTTTTAAAGTAATTCATTTATTCTGTGAAGATTTATTGAGCACCTATTATTTGCCATACGTTGGGAGTATAATTTTGGCTAAAATAGAATCCCTGCATGAAAGGAGCTCTTACTCTATTGAAACCATAACTGTTGCCTGTGAGGTAGTTATTAGTGTCATCTATATTTTAGAGATGTAGAAATTGAGACTTGTAGGTAAATCGTGACTTGCTCAAGGCCACTTGGTTGCTAAGTGGAACTAGCGCTCTGAGCCAGGTCTTCTGACTCCAAATTCAAGGCTTTTTCCATTTTCTGCTTGTGAAACATGTTGAATTAGTAGAGCAAGTTGTCTTCCTTTTTTCTTTAACAAATTTGCTCTTCATTTAAAATTTGTTTGCTTAATATTATTGGTTCGAACAAAGTATAAGTAGTTGTTTTAAATCTTAAATGTAAAATGTCCAATGGCTCATGAATTATTTTCTCTTTTTCTAATCAATTTTATTGAGGTATAATTTACATACAGTCATTTGCAACCATTTCTGTGTACAATTTGATGCCTTTTGACAAATGTATATACCTGCAAAACCACGACAATGGGAATAGCGAACATTTCTCTCCTTCTCAGTTCCCTCCCTCCACCTCGGCCCCCAAGCAACCACTGATACGTTTTTTGTCTCTGTAGATGCATCTGTATTTTCTAGATTTCATATAAGTGGAAGCATACAGTGTATACTTTTGGGTCTTTTTTTTCATTCAGCGTAATGATTTTTTTTTTTTTTTTAGTAGAGATGGTGTCTTGCTATGTTGCCCAAGCTGGTCTGGAACTGCTGGGCTGAAGCCATCCTCCTGCCTCTGCTACCCAAAGTGTTGGGATTATAGGCGTGAGCCACTGTGCCTGGTCAGCATAATGATTCTGAGATTAATCCGTGGTGTTGTATGTATCAATAGTTTGTTCCTTTATATTGCAGATTAGTGGCCCACTGTATGGAGATACCACATGTTGTTCATTCATTCACTTGTTGCTGGACCTTAGGATTGTTTCTGGTTTTGGACCCTTATGAAAAAAGCTGCTTTGACCATTCATGTATGAGTCTTTCCATTTTCATTTCTGTCAAAAAAAGCCGCTATGACCATTCATGTAAGAGTCTTTCCATTTTCATTTCTGTCGGGTAATGCCCAGGAGTAGAATTGCTTAGTTATAGGGGAGTTCTTTGTTTAACCTTATGAAGAAATTGTCAGTTTTCCAAAGTGATTTGGCCATTTGTTTTAGTTTCCTATGGCTGCTGCAACAAGTTACCACAAACTTGATGGGTTAAAACAACAGAAATTTATTCTCTTTCAGTTCTGGAGATGAGGCATTGAAATCAAGGTGTCAACAGGGCCATATTCCCTTTGAAGGACTCTAGGGGAAACTCCTTCCTTGCCTCTTCCAGCTTCTAGTGGTCCCTGGTGTTCCTTGGCTTGTGGTAGCATCACTTCATAACTTCTCTGCTTCCATCTTCACATGGCCTTCTTCTCTCTGTTTCTGTGTCTCAAATCTCTCTCTCCTTTCTCTTAAAAGGATGCCAGTTATTGGATTAGGACCCATCCTAAATCCAGGATGATCTTGAGGTCCTTAAGAGCCTCAACTTAATTACATTTGCAAGGACACTTTTCCAAATAAGGTTACATTCACACTTGCCGGGTTTCTGGATTTGGACATACCTTTTTGGGGGATAATATTCAAATGCACTGCACCCTTTTACATTCTTACCAACTGTTGGTGGGAACGTAAAATGAGAGTTCTACTTGTTTCATATCCTTGCAATGCTTGTCAGTCTTTTACATTTTAACCATTCTAGTACATGTGCAGTGATATTTGTGATTTTAATTTGCATTTCAGTGATGTCTAATGATGTTGCATGTCTCTCTTTTTGTAAATTTTTATTGAGGTATAATTTACATACTGTAAAATTCACCTGTTTTCAGTGTAGGACTTAATGGTTGGTAGCATATTTGCAGAGTTGTGTAACTATCACCACAGTCTTATTTTAGAACAGTTCCCTTCCAGAAGAAACTGTATTCATTTGCAGTTATTTCCCAATTCTACTTCATCCCTAGGGAACCATGAATCTACTCTGTTCTTTAGATTTGCCTTTTCTGGACATTTTTGTATAGATGGACTCATACAATATGTGGTCTTTTATGTTCGGCTTCTTTCACCCAGGATGTTTTTGAGGTTCATCCATGTTACAGCATGTATTGGTACTTTGTTCCTTTTTATTACACAGTAGATAGAATTCCAGTGTCAGGCCTAGTGCAATGGCTCATGCCTGTAATCCCAGCACTTTGGGAGGCCAAGGCAGGTGGATCACCTGAAGTCAGGATAACTTAGATCAAGACCAGCTTGGCCAACATGGTGAAACCCTGTCTATACTAAAAATACAAAAATTAGCCAGGAGTGGTGGCACATGCCTGTAATTCTAGCTACTTAGGAGGCTGAGGCATGAGAGTCACCTAACCTGGCAGGCAGAGGTTGCAGAGAGCCCAGATTGTGCCACTGCATTCCAGCCTGGGTGACAGAGTGAGACTGTCTCAAAAAAAAAAAAAAAAGAATTCCAGTGTCAGGATATACCATGTTTTGTTTATCTCTTCACCAGTTGATGGATATTTGATTTGTTTCTACATTTTGACCATTATGAAAAATGCTACTGTGAACATTTGCACCCTAGTTTTTGTGTGGATGTGTTTTCATTCCTCCTGGGTAGATACCTAGGAGTGGAATTACTGGTCATATGGTAAATCTATGTTTAAAATTTTAAGAAACTGACAAACTGTTTACTTGTGTGGTTACACCATTTTACATTCCCCACTAGCCATTTTGAGGGTTACAATTTTGCCATATCCTTGTCAACACTTGTTATTGTCTGTCTTTTCTATTGTAGCCATCATAGTGGGTGTGAAGTGGTGTCTCATTGTGGTTTGATTTGCATTTCTCTGATGGGTGATAATGTTATGCATCTTTGCGTGTGCTTATTGGACATGTATGTATCTTCTTTTATGAAGTATCTGTTCAAAATCTTTGCCCATTTTTTTGTTGGATTGTTTGTGTTCCTATTATTAAGTTTTATG